GCAAATCAGAACATTTTCTTTAATTATTATCATTATTTCATTTATTTATTTATTTATTTATTTGAGATGGAGTCTCGCTCTGTTGCCCAGGCTGGAGTGCAGTGGTGCAATCTCGGCTCACTACAACCTCTGCCTCCTGGGTTCAAGCAATTCTCCTGCCTCAGCCTCCTAAGTAGCTGGGATTTCTGGCATGCGCCACCATGCCTGGCTAATTTTTGTATTTTTAGTAGAGATGGGGTTTCACCATGCTGGCCAGGCTAGTCTCGAACTCCTGACCTTGTGATCTGTCCACCTTGGCCTCCCAAAGTGCTGGAATACAGGTGTGAGTTACCATGTCTGGCTACTGTTTTGTTTTGTTTTTTAAATCAGTGCTCCATTTATAGTAACAAGCTAAAAAGATCTGTTAGAGGAGATTGGGCAGATGGAGTGGGCCAGGCAATTTATCAACTTGGAATGTAATGTATCTTTCCATTTTTCACCTGAAGATATAGGTGAAACATTTTAAATCAAACAGTAAAAATAGGATATGTTTGCTACCAATGCTACTACGAACTTCATTACGATTATTGTCAAAATCATCAGATAGCCTAGAATAATATATAGTTTATTTTTGTAATTGGATAAGACAGGAGGAAGTAGTAAACTTCAAGGTAGAATGTCTGAATATGTACTAGAAAAATTCCCATAGTTTGACATTTATCAGATTTAAAGTAATTTGGGGAAAAGACCCTCACAATGTAGTAGGAAACATTTCAGGCACAGTTTTACAGAAATTAGAATCATAATTGGAAATTGGAATCATAATGATTCAGAAGTTGGATAATTTACTTAGAGTTACCCTCAAGAGTTAACCAAAAAAGATGAAGAAAGAAAAAAGCTAAAAATAAATTAATCTGGAATAAAGTTGTAGCATGTGCTGGAGTTGTTTGGCCTAACACTCGATGTATTGCTGCAGCAGATAGTAATGTGGGGGTAATAATGTGCAACTTAGGAGTTACTTAAGGGGAACAAAAATGAATTCAGAAACACAGTTAGGCATTTAAGACTGACAAGAAACCACAAAGACTACCTCTCCTGTAATCTCTGTGTCTATGACAACTTCAAATATAGTATTTCCTATGGCAAATTTAAATGAAATTATTTTTGATGAAAACTCTTAAGACCTTTTCACGGTGACACATGGTGTTACAAAGTCATGTATATCTAATCAGTAATCTACATGATCTTGTTTCAGTTTTATGAGGAAAAAAATGAATACTTTGTAAAAAGAGAATATTTTACAATTCCAAATAATAGCATAATTTAATATTAACATAAAATAATTTTGTAAGATCAGAAAATTTTATTTTATATAAATTCAAAAATATGTTTTATCTTCTTGCAAATCCGGTATTCTTCTGGGATATATAATAAGACTTTAGGGATGATTTATGCAATTCCTCTGTACTAGACTTGCAGGTAGGAGTCTATGTTGTAGTTTAGTAGTTAAAAATATCCACTCTGAATTTATACTTCCTTGGTTCAAATCCAGGCTCTATCAGGTACTAAGTGGTTATTGTTGGCTAGATGCTTCTGACTACATAAAATTTTTTATATAAGTAGCATTTAATTTCCTTTTTGTGCTTTCTTTTCAAAATATGTTATGAAAACTTTTAGTTTATTACATTTCTGTAAGTTTTTTTTTTAAATTTTACCTTTGGCAGATGAACTGAAAGAATGTTATAATGATATTCCTTAATAATTATATTAGTTATAACAGACTGGTCAGGTCCTGAAAAGTTCTGCTATTAACATTGTCCAGAATATAGCCATGCCTAATTCATATTTTTTAAATTATTGAGTGCCATTCCACTTTATCATATACACAATATTTTATGTTTAATGTACTACTTCATTATATTATGTAATTCAAAGTTAATAATTTTAGTAAACTACATAAAACCACATATCTTAATATTACATTATAAATAAAATACAATAGTAATGAGTACCACTGTCATGCCTATTATTACTACATTACTTCCACTGAGACACTGACTAGCCCATATTTGCTGAACGTTGCCCATGTCATCAGTACCGTTTGTAAGTGCTTTATATTTCTTAACTATTTTAATTTTATTAATGACACAGGATACTTTCAGTGCCGCTTTGCCAGCCAGAAACTTCTGTGGCCAGTGGCCCCTCTGCCCGGGTTTTACACCAGCCTGCTCATCCTGGCAGGCTGCACTGGACTCACTCCCCAGCCTGGATCCCATGACCACCATGGCTGTGTGGTCACCATGGTCCATCCCATGGCAGGACCAGGAGTGCCACAAGTGGCTTCCGTGTCTGGGAGCCAGCATTCAGACAAGGGGGACGCTGTGGCGCCCCAAAGCTCGGAGACAACAGTGACCACGGAACTCCAAGGAGGTGCCACAGATTCTGCTCGGGGAGTTCTGAGGTGTGGGCCCCCAGGAAGTGTTACGGTTCTCTCTCATTCCCGCCATTCACAGCCCAGCAAACGAGGGCGTGTCACAACTCATTCGGTCCCACTGCCTGCATATGGGCGAGCCAGCCGGAAGCGTGCTACTGCCCTTTTCACTCCCACTAGGCGGCAGGTTCCAGGTTCTCGTTCTGTGACCAAGAAGAATGAGGTACGTGGGCACCGGAAAGTGAGCAAGACAGAGAAGAATTTCATTGAGTGACAGAAAAGCTCTCCACAATGAGAGGGGACACGAAGTGGGTAGCCATCTGTGTGAGAAGGAGCCCCAAAGTGCATAAAGGTCTGAAAGGCTGAGTCCAGGGTTTTTGTAGGTTTTCAGTGAGGAGGTGTGGGCTGTAAGGTAGCCTTGGAGAAGGCAACATTTGATTGGTTAAAAAGCTTCATCCAGAAGGATGAGAGCGAGGGAGAGCGCGCGGACATAGAGAGAGAGTGGACAAACCGGAAGGAAGGAATAGAGAGAGAGTGGACAAACCGAAATAGAAGTTCTCACTCTGGTCCAGCAGCTTGGTTTTCAGGCAAAACTGTCTTTGGCTTGGTCAGGTTTTACCAGGGACCCGCCCCTATCTGCTTAGGAATTTGACTGTCTCCTGCTGCTATTAATAACACCATGAAACTTGTTTTCCTTTCAAAAATGGAGTCTCAGAGGTTCAAGAAAATGAAATATCTTTCCTAATCACAAATCTGTATGCGTTAGAACCAGAATATGAAATCTGATATTTCCACTTCAAAGTATACTTTATCCACGACTCCTGAAATGCCTCCCTGACAGAAAAGCCTTAAGAACTAGGCTAATAATCCGAATGAATTTTGTTTGCCTTTTTTGCTTTTCTCTTCTTTAATTTGAATATTTTGCCACAATTTTTTGAAAGTGCTTCCTTTAATATTTTATTTTTTGCTTTGTTATTATATCTATTTTTTCTTCTTGAGGGCCTCTTTTAATAGTTCACCTAAACAGCTAAAATGATAATAAAAAAGTTTTACTCCACAGGTAATTAAATACTTTCATATTAAAAAAAAATGTACCACATACACCGAACATCTAGAGAATTGCTTATACATTTTATTTTTCATCCAAAGTTTATTTTCCTAATTTGAAATGAGACCTAAAAATACTTGGTCCTGTTTTCTAAATTATTGTGAAAAATTAAAGGCAGCCTTCATTATCTCTTCCTATGATTTAAAATCTTTAATAGCAAACATATAAAATTTATTTTTGGAGTTATCTGCTAAATATTGTCTTTAAAATATTTTCAATTTTCTACTCATTGTTCAAGGATGGAAAGTATATCTTATGATTCTAAACTAAAACCCACAATTTATGAAATGTCTTGCATGAATTAGTGTCCATATGTTGAAAGTGTTGAGAAATACATTGCAAATTTTAAAGTCACCTACAAAACTTTAAGGACAGAAAAGTATGTCTAGTCCTCTCCCTAACTTTTTCCTGGGCCACATGCTCACCATTCCAGACAAATGAGAATCTATCCATGACTAAAAAAAAAAATCTCCAGAGAAGGTTTCTTAATGTACCCTAAAATGTTTTCACTCTCGCTTTTGGTAGAATCTCCTTATTGCTCGCTTTATTGCTGCTAGTTAAGTTTGCATCGGTTGCTCTCCTCTCTGTGGAAATGAAGAACAGCTGGCCAATATCTTCTGTGTAAAGGCATTTGAAATTCTAGAATGAAGTAATTAAAACACTTTCTTTGCCTTTGACTAACATTTTCCAGGATTTATTTGAAACTTTTATATGTTTTTAAAGGTTTTACATGCTTCCCGAGTCCTGGAATACTTACTTTTTATGAAGCCGTATGAGACATTGCCTGAGCAGCAAAGAGTAATAGATGGTTGTATATGATTCTAATATATCATTATCTTATGTCTTTAAACATTATGACTGGGTGCGGTGGCTCACACCTGAAATTCCAGCATTTTGGGAGGCTGTGGCAGGAGGATTGCTTAAGCCCAGGCGTTCAAGACCAGCCTGGGCAATATAGTGCCAGCCTGTGTCTACAAAAGATAAAAATCAGCTGGGCATGGTGACACACACCTGTAGTCCCAGATACTTGGGAAGCTGAGTTGTGAGGATCGCTTGAGCCTGGGAGGTCAAGGGTGCAGTGAACTATAATCATGCCACTCCTCTCCAGCCTGTGTGACTAAGCAAAACCTGTCTCAAAAATAATAATAATAAAAGCAAACAAACAAATAAACATTGCTGTCAGAGGTATGAGTCATTCATGTAAATACTCATATATTTTTTCTGCAGGTCTGAAAAAGGGAAATAAAATACCAAAAAGTATTGTTTCATAACTTTTGTACCAACTTCAGTTATCAAATAATTTTGTTTGGGGAATCTTATATATTCCTCCATGAGCCTGGAATACCTTGACAAAGATTATTTACCTCAGTAATCAGTCATTAATAGAGCCTCAGAATCTTCAAGCCTGGTCATAACCATTATTGTACAAGTGTTATTAGCACTGATTTCTGACATAAACTCTAATTAAATCTTGAATTTGTTTGGACAGTGATCATAAGACAAGAAATATATAAACAAAAAGTGAAACCGTGAAAAGAGAAGCATTTATAGAAGCTGCACTACAGCATCTAATCAGGAGGGTGAGCTGATTTTTTTTTTTTTTCCCCCCTCAAACTTATTCAAGGACAGAGGTCAGCAACCATTTTCTGGAAAACAGTAGATAGCAGATGTTTTTGGCTTTGCATGCCATATGGTCTCTACTGCAGCCAGTCAACTCCAGCACTGTAGCATTAAAGCAGCCATAGCCAAAATGTAAGCAAATGCATGTGACTGTGTTCCAATAAAACTTTATCACAAACACATGCAGCAGGCTGGATGTTGCCTGTGGGCCATAATTTCCCAGTCCCTGTTCTAGAATAACGAGTGCCAAGACCTGCCAATATGTGCCGAACTTCCTGCTTTCCCACATTCTCTGAAATTTTTCCACTGCTGAGATTCTCTGAGAGACTAAACTTTCTCAAGAAGATAATTAAACTCCAAATCGGAAAGATGCCACGTTTCCTCTATGTGCTGTGCTTGGGCATCAACACCAGGCATTTTCCTTGTGCGGCCTGGCTAATGTGTCTCATAATCTCCCATCTCAGCATCAGATCCTCTGCTGGTTTCCTCCTGGTAGACTTTTCAGTTTTCAAAACCAAGAGCTAAATCTAAACTTTCCCACAAATCTTCCAAGAGACTACACGCTGGACCTAAATTCTATCTCCAGTGATTGCACATCCAGATGCTCCTATCACATCTCACTGCTCAATTGCTCAGTCCCAAAATACCAGAGTCACTTTTCACTCTTTCCCTTTACATCCAATTCATCAGGGAATTGTTAATAGTACTTGAGAATACACACATGCCTCACCATCCTTGTGCTACCTAATAGTTTGAGTTATCATCATCTCTTCTCTGAAATATTAAATCTACCATATCACCCAATCTATTTTCAATAGAGCAATTAGGTAATTTTAAGGCATAAGTACATTATCAAAATTCTCCCAGGAGTCCTCAGATCGGAGCAGAAGTCAAGGCCCTGCCAATGGTATACATGACCCTGCTGTATGTGATCTGTGCCACCTCCCAACCCTTACATCTCTACCCTTCTCTCACCCTCACCTAATCTATGGGATCCAGCCACATCGGCCTCCTTGCTGTTTTTTCACCACACTGGGAACACTTTCACATCAGAGCATTCCACAGCCTTATTTTTTTCTGCACTGGATGTGCCCCATCACCTCAATTTAACCAATGCTCTCACCTCTTTGTCTTCTTTAGTATAATTCCACATTCTTTGAGTCCTAACTTGGTCAATCATATATTATTGCACCCACTCCTCCCTCATCTCTCAAAATCCCACCTACCCTGCCTTACTTTTTCCCATAGCAATCATCTTCCGCCATACTATAAAATTTAAACTTGTTTCTATGTTGCATTTATTGCCATTGACTTTCCTTAGCTGCTAAATTACAAACTCCTGAGAGTGTGAATTTGCATCTACTTTATTCACAGACTTTTCCCAAGCATCAGTGACAGTGCTGGACTACACAGTGGAGGAACCTCAAAAACATTTTGCTAAGTAAAAGAAGCTGGACAAAAATGGTCACATGTTGTGTGATTCCATTTATATAAAATATCCAGTGTAGGGGAAATCTATAAAGAAAGAAAGAAAATTGATGGTTGCCAGGGGCTGGGGAAACGGAGATTGTGGAATAAATGCTTGATACGCATGGGATTTCTAGAGAGGTGGTGATTGTACAACACTGTGAAGGTAGAGAATGTCACTAAGTGGTTCACTTTAAAATGGTTAATTTTATGTTATGTGGATTCCCCCTCTATTTTTGAAAATTACAAGAAATAAATTTTTATGCAGTGCCTTCACCTGTAGAGACAGTTATTAGCAAAATTTCACATGCTTTGGGAATAGAATGGATGTAATCTGAAGCTGGGGATTGCTAGAGAGGCAGTGCATGTGACAATCACATGGTGTTGAATAACTGAAAGGACTCACGGGGCTCCAAGTTACGCCCCAAATGACACTTTACCTTCACCATTGCCCTCTATCCACAAATGCGTACATGATTTGTAAGCATTAGGGCACATGATATTACAAGGAGTTGTAAAAGCAGGAGATAATCTGACCATTATGTATAGACACCTTTGTTAAAAGGGCATTTATTAGTTTAAAAGTTATGTATTTTCCACATCTCTGCTATTGAACAAAGTCCACTGTTTTGGGAAGCAACACTTCCTACTTACTACCTAAGAATGCACCCTGTGTAATAGATAAAACCTGCAAAATAGAAAACAAAGAGAGAGTGATATTAGAATCATTGTAAATATTCATCCAGTATCATCAAGATATATCAGAAACATTGATTACTCTGAATTGAATATTTCCTAAATCTTCCCCATACCAATTTAGACCATTAACTTTAGACAAGGGAGAATGGTCTGCTAGGTTTGCATTTATGGACATCTTATTTATTTATTTATTTATTTATTTATTTATTTATTTATTTTCAAGACAGGGTCTCTCGCTCTGTCACCAGGCTGGAGCACAGTGGCACGATCTCAGCTCACTGCAACCTCCGCCTCCAGTGTTCAAGCGATTATCCTGTCTCAGCCTCCCAAATAGCTGGGATTACAGGTGCCTACCACCATGTCTGGTTAATTTTTTTGTGGTTTTAGTAGAGATGAGGTTTCACCAAGTTGGCCAGGCTGGTCTTCAACTCCTCACCTCAAATGATCCACCAGCCTCGGCCTTCCAAAGTGCTGGGATTATAGGCGTGAGTCACTGTGCCTGGCCTGACATCTCTTAATATAGTGACTGCTATTATTTATTCTCTATGATGTTATGAAGATTACTGTTGGGAACGGGCCCCCCAAAATCTGGCCATAACCTGGCCCAAAAACTGGCCATAAACAAAATCTCTGCAGCACTGTGACATGTTCATGATGGCCATAATGCCCACACTGGAAGGTTGTAGGTTTACCAGAATGAGGGCAAGGAACACCTGGCCTGCCCAGGGCGGAAAACCATTTACAGGCGTTCTTAAATCACAAACACTAGCATGAGCAATCTGTGCCTTAAGGACATGCTCCTGCTACAGATAACTAGCCCAACCAACCCCTTTATTTTGGTGGAGCCCTTTGTTTCCCATAAGGGATACTTTTAGTTAATCAAATATCTATAGAAACAATGCTAATGACTGGCTTGCTGTTAATAAATACGTGGGTAAATCTCTATTCGGGGCTCTCAGCTCTGAAGGCTGTGAGACCCCTGATTTCCCACTTCACACCTCTATATTTCTGTGTGTGTATCTTTAATTCCTCTAGCGCCGTGGGGTTAGGGTCTCTCCTACTGAACTGGTTTCGGCAGATTACCACTTTTTATCTTGTCTGTTGAGATTTTCTTTTCCTTCTCCAGTCAATATACAACCTTGAACAGTTGCAATACAGCTGCCTTCAGTTTGAATTTCAGTCCTCTATTACTTACTACCCTCTGTAAACCATGCCACTCTGTCATATTCTGGTAAACAATTATAGAAAGTGGTGCCTTCAGCGATTAATTAGACAAATAATCAGGAAGGCCTAATGTAGAGTTCAAAGGCTAAGAGCCTCTTCTTCAGTTATGATAGGTGTCCTCAAGGGTTCCCTGACATATATTGTTGAATATACCCTGACTATTTTAGGATACATTTCCCTTCCTTTTAGAATGTTGTTCTGATATAACCCATGACATTATGGAGTTTTCAGGTGTTAAAATAATTTTATGTCTTTCTGTAACATTAACAATTTCCACTGAAGTTCATTAATAGGCTAGCAATTGTCTTTTAAAAAGTTATGCCTGGAGGTAAACCCAGATAATTTCTAATCCCAAGTCCCCACCATAGCCACTGGTTGGCAATCATGGGCTTTTGCCGAAGGCTTCTGTTTGTGTGTAAGTTGCTGACACAATGTCATTTGAACATCACGCTAGTGTTGTCCCAAAGGAATCTACTGGATGTTCTTTGAGGCTTCAAGAGAGCCTGCAGTTGTCCAGAACATGAAGAAAATTCAGTTTTTTCCTCATATCTTTGTGAGTCAGGGTGACTGAAATTTCCAGATGTGACAGATGATGTCTTCACAAATCAAACAATACATTCAAACCTTACCCTGCTTGTTTTTATTTCAAGAAAATAACCTATTTTTAATTGCTTGAGGAATAAGTATTTCCTCTTCATTTTAACATTTATTCAGTACATGTACTTCCTTTTGGTCATATGATTAACTGGCACTAGAGATTCTGTTTTAGCTTAATATTCAGATTGAGATATGAGTAATATATATTAAAGATAGCAAATTATACTTCTAACCTGAATAAAACTTAAGTCTCATCTCACCAGGTTGTAGAAATAAGCAGAAAAAAATTAAATATGCTTAAGAAAGCACAGTAAATAAATACTGGAGTCCATCACACATGAATTCAAATTGGCTTTGATTTTCTTGCAAGACAGAAATTAAGAAGAAAGTGTTAGTGAGAGACAGGACTAGCTGAATTTCCTAGGCCGACTAAGAATCCCTGAGCCTATCTGGGAAGGTGACCGCATCCACCTTGAAACATGGGGCTTGCAACTTAGCTCAGAGCCGACCAATCAGAGAGCTCACTAAAATGCTAATTAGGCCAAAACAGGAGGTAAAGAAAGCCAATGATCTGTCACCTGAGAGCACAGTGGGAGGGATAATGATCGGGATATAAACCCAGGCATTCAAGCCAGCAACGGCTACCCTGTTTGCATCCCCTCCCTTTATATGGGAGTTCTGTTTTCACTCCACTTCACTCTATTAAATCTTGCAACTGCACTCTTCTGGTCTGTGTTTGTTATGGCTCAAGCTGAACTTTCACTCGCTGTCCACCACTGCTGTTTGCTGCCACCACTGCTGTTTGCCGTCCTCACAGACCTGCCGCTGACTTCCATCCCTCTGGATCCAGCAGGGTGTCTGCTGTGCTCCTGATCCAGCCAGGCGCCCATTGCCGCTCCCTATAGGGCTAAAGGCTCACCATTCATTGTTCCTGCATGGCCAAGTGCCTGGGTTCCTCCTAATAGAGCTGAACACTAGTCACTGGGTTCCACAGTTCTCTTCTGTGACCTGCAGCCTCTAATAGAGCTGTAACATTCACCATATGGCCCAAGATTCCATTCCTTGGAATCCCTGAGGGCAAGAACCCCAGGTCAGAGAACACGAGGCTTGCCACCATCTTGGAAGCCACCGCCATCATCTTGAAAGCTCTGGGAGCAAGAACCCCTCCCACATCCCCATAACATTAGTCCAATTCATCACAGAATACCAATCTCCTTTATCTTGTTGCCCAGGTTGCCTTTTTTTTTTCTTTTTTTTTTGACAGAGTCTGGCTGTGTTGCCCAGGCTGGAGTGCAGTGGCGCAATCTTGGCTCACTGCAACCTCAACTCCAAGATTCAAGCGTTTCTCCTTCTTCAGCCTCTCAAGTAGCTGGGACTACAGGTACCCGACACTATGCCCAACTAATTTTTGTATTTTTTTTTCTTTTTTTTTTAGTAGAGACGGGGTTTCACTATGTTGGTCTGGCTGGTCTTGAACTCCTGACCTTGTGATCCACCCACCTTGGCCTCCCAAAGTGCTGGGATTACAGGAATGAGTCACTGTGCCTGGCTGAATTGTTAGTACTGTATTGAACCCAGCTGATACTTTTGTATGTTCAAACGTATTTAATCCTTTGTAGTCTAGAGTTAGACTTGAGCATCTATAAGGTTTTCCTAGAGGTCTTCTTTCTGACAAACCACAAAAGAAGGGATTTGCGGCTATTTTTATAATTGCATTTAACATGTTTTTAAAGTAAAGACAAAAATTCTTGATAGTCTGTCTCTGAGCATTTTTTATCGTTTTAAAAATAACCATGTGAATGCTTGTAAATAGACCTAAAGGTTCCACCTAAAATACCCAGTCAAAACGAGACAAAGATAATATTTTCACTTGCTAACCCATATCCATCTCACTTCATACGGACATCACATTTATTCCAGTAATATATTTGTGTATGGGTATGTGTAAGAGTACATGCTCACATTGCTATAGAGAAATACCTGAGGCTGAGTAACTTATAAAGAAAGAGGTTTAATTGGCTCATGATTCTGCAGGCTGTACAAGCATGGCACCAACATTGCTGGCTTCTGGGGAGGCCTCAAGGAGCTTTTACTCATGGTGGAAGGCAAAATAGGAGCAGGAACTACCCATGGCAAGAGTGGGAGCGAGAAAGTGATGTTGGGGGTGGTGTTCTACACACTTTTTTTTTGTTTGTTTTTGAGACTGAGTCGCTCTCTGTCGCCTAGGCTGGAGTGCAGTGGTGCAATCTCAGCTCACTGCAACTTTCACCTCCCTGGTTCAAGCAATTCCCCTGCCTCAGCCTCCTGAGTAGCTAGAAATATAGGCAAACGCCACCACGCCTGACTAATTTTTTTGTATTTTTAGTAGAAGTGGGGTTTCACCATGTTAGCCTGACTGGTCTCGAACTCCTGACCTCAAGCAATCCGCCAGCCTCAGCCTCCCAGAGTGGTGGGATTATAGGCGTGAGCCGCCGCGTGTGCTACCACCCTGCTGCTACACACTTTTAAATGACCAAATCTCATGAGAACTATCTTTTTTATTGTTTTTGGGTGTTTTTGTTTGTTTGTTTGTTTTGTTTGTTTTAAAGAGTGGAGAGGTTAATAATATAATATTCCTCCTGTGGAGATGTCACCTTAATTGTTGTTAGGGGGTTTTGGGCGACAACTCTTTCTGGCTACTTCCTGCTGAATGGTGTGTCCGTGCGTGATTCAGTTTGCAGCACCGTTTGGAGTTTGATTGCTTCTAGGCTAGAGGAAACAATTTGAGTTATAGTATTGAGTATACAGTGTCCAAATATTAAAAAAAGACATAGGCTCTCTGTCCAATATTTCACTTAGGAGGTGCTACCATGTATAACCCTGTTGTAAACAGTAGACTGAGTATAGCAATTCTCACAAGTGTGGCGTAGTAGACAATTTCCATCTAAAATTTTACTTGCCAAGACATAGAATTTCCCTTTGTGGGGGTCTATGAAGTTTCTTGGCTTCATTTTCCCAAACAAAGAAACCTCCAGGTTGTGGGCACCTTTCTCACTTTCATCACCTGGCAGAATTTGCGGGATAATTGCCCAGAACTAGCATATTGATCCAGATTTGTACATTACCTATCCCTTTCTGTTTCTTCCAAGCTTCAGGAGATTACCACTTAATTCACAGGAACAGGCAGGGTTAGTCTAAAATGTAGGCAAAAGCTTAAAAACAATTAATGAGACGTTTTAATGACAAAAGTATGATAAGCTTTGGAGCACAATTCCTTTCTCTAGTCCTTATTTTTTGGTAAAAATAAATTATGATAGGACTGTGTGTGTGAATTGTAGTATAAACTTTATTGTTATACTTGGCCTGATTATTTGCATAAAGTGCAGTAAGGATGGTTATTTCTACATAGGCCTTTTGAACTGGCTTTGATGGAACGCTGTTCCACAAGGAATTTCAGGTAAGACCTTTAAAGCCGAGCCCAGGGCCGGTGTGGTGGCTCACGCCTGTAATTCTAGCACTTTGGGAAAAGAAAAATGCCGAGCCCAGTCATGTGTTTGTATCCTCAAATACTTGTGAGTTGGGAGATTCTCTGCTTGTGAGGCCCCAGGATAAACTTGGAGCTCCCAGACCTGTTAGAAAGTGACATTCTTTACGGCCACAGGTCAGGAACTCTGTGCAGGGATGGTGTAGACAAGGTATGAGGCCAGAGAACTCACTATCTTGAGTGCAGTACCAAGTGGGATGGTGATTCATGAGAATTCTTCCCCCATGGCCCAATCATCTCCCACCAGACCCCACCTCCGACACTGGAGATTACATTTCATTATGAGATTTGAGCAAGGACACACATCCAAATTATATCAGTATGTAAAAACCATTATAACTTTTATTTATTAGCTCCTATTTTGAAGCATAGCTTTACTGTTTATTTTACTGTTTATTCCTTCTATAGTTATACTATCATCTGATCCCCCTAACAATTATATTGCCTTTACCTTTCAATAAACAGGTTTTTGTGTGGTATTACATTGTACACCAGTGTCCAGTAATAACCATAAAATTCCTCCACTATGCCAACGGCATTTTACTTATAGAACAAACAATTTCAGGTCCCTTTCTTGTGGTTGTGCCAAGAGAATATGGACAATTCTATAATCAGAATCAGAATACACTTTTTACCTCATACTATATTGATTGGCACTGGTTACAGAGGACCTATAGATACTTCTCTTGCATCATCCTCCTAAGATTTTTTTTTTTTTTTGATAAATTCCTTAGGGCTGGGATGAATTGAATAAATTTGTCATAATCCTTTATTATCTGAGGAGGTGGTAGAACAGTCGCACCACCTAATATCTTATATTAAAACATTACCATTTTAATGGTCACTTCTTTCTTTTTTTGCCATTTTTAATTAATCATCTGAATACTTACACATAGCTTAATTTATTCAAACGTTTTCCCCATTGGTTTATTTCTTCCTTTTTGTGTATACAACATTTCCACGTCAGCCTGTCTTGTGAATAACAGGGGCTTATAAGGAGCACAATAAATTATGGGGAGACCCTCCTCTAGTATCAATTATCTCTTGGGCCAAAAGCATAACATTTGGGGATAATTTAATATTTTTTATAACGTTGTGAATATTCTCAAGATTCTACTCTATTTAATGTCTATGGATGGAATTGGATAAATTCCTTTATCCAGTTACGATCTATGCACTTCTACTTTCCAATAGCTGAGCAGATTTAGAGTTTTGATGTTCATACCCATTTCTGTAAGGTTTGAAGATAATTGAGAAGCTGACTAAGACCCACCATGCTCAGCAGTCTTTGATTGCTAGGGAAATAGATCTCTCAGTCACGAATGCATAAATATATTTGCATAAATGCATAAAGTGCATTTCAGTAGTGACTCACCAGGAAACTGTTGATGTCAGCCCACAAAGGGACTTAACTCTTTGACTGATTACTCCTGTGTTCAGGTTGTCTCTTTTTTCCCTTCCCCTATGAACTGCATAGTTTCTAGTGTGATCATGAGTCAGATGAGGTTGTTTTCTCATCAAAGAAAACATGTTCTTAACTATCAAAAACCATCTGACTAAATCTGGAAGAGGATTCTCTAGCTCAAATTGAGCCTTGAGATGACTGTATTCCAGTCTGACAGCTAAACTGAAATATTTTGAGAGATTCTGACACCAAACCATGTGGCTGAGTTGCTCCCAGTTTCACGACCCTCAGAAACCATACAATACTAAATGTTTATTATTCAAGCTGCTAAGTTTTAAGTGATTTGTTATGATAGAAGAGATAACTAATGTAGTACCAAGTGCTTGGTTCACTTTCAATCTCTCTGAAATTTTAAAAATTCATTTGGAAATAGAAATGAAATTATAACTTCTCATAATTTGTGGGTTGCAGTGGAAGCCGTGCTTGAGGGAA